TCTGTACCTCATCCCATCCCTCTGTGCCACATCCCATCCCTCTGTACCACATCCCATTCCTTTGTACCATATCCTGTCCCTCTGTGCCACACCCCATCCCTCTGTACCTCATTCCATCCCTCTGTGCCACATCCCATCCCTCTGTACCACATCCCATTCCTTTGTACCATATCCCGTCCCTCTGTGCCACACCCCATCCCTCTGTACCTCATCCCATCCCTCTGTGCCACATCCCATCCCTCTGTACCATATCCCATCCCTCTGTACCTCATCCCATCCCTCTGTGCCCCATTCCGTCCCTCTGTGCCACACCCCATCCCGTCCCTCTGTGCCACACCCCATCTCTCTGTACCTCATCCCATCTCTCTGTACCTCATCCCATCCCTCTGTACCTCATTCCATCCCTCTGTGCCTCATCCCATCCCTCTGTACCTCATCCCTCTGTACCACATCCCATCCCTCTGTACCACATCCCATCCCTCTGTACCACATCCCATCCCTCTGTACCACATCCCATCCCTCTGTGCCACATCCCATCCCTCTGTGCCACATCCCATCCCTCTGTACCTCATCCCATCCCTCTGTGGGATGTGAACCGGCAATGAAAATCATTTGATTCGGCAGTTTGTCCGAATCCGAAATAACGAATGTATTTTATGCCCGAATATACTAAGACGCACACATAAATTCGTTTTCAGAACACGCCGGCATCGTTATGCGGTTTCAGTGTGCGGTTTTGGATCTGGAGGCTCGTTGCCTCCGAATCCAAACAACATAAAAATGAGTTTCCTTTCACGAAACGAATGAAAATGTTTTTCGTTGTCATTTGTTTTTAGTTTGGAATTTTTTTATGTTGTGCACACATCTAGAATTCACTTCCACAGATAGCTGTATCAGCGGGAAACATGAACTGCTTCAAAAAACACTTGGAGGAGTTCATCAGTTCACCAAACATACAGGGTTATGGAAATTCCGAGCACTATAGACACTCACACGCTATATAGGTTGAACTTGATGGACCTGTGTCTTTATTCCACCTCACCTATTATGTAACTATGTACAATCTGATCACTGGAGGAGAGGAGGCCGTCTTGGTGATACCTGCCGGCGGCCATCTAAGATGATGGACGCCGGCTGAGAGAGGAGGGGACGTTCACCCGGCAGGATACGGTATGCCGCCGGGTTCCCTCTTCTCTCCTGATACTGTCGGGCTCTCAGTCCATGACCGAGTGCCCGACTTTTCAGAGGGGGTGACACCAAAAGGACTGCCGGTCATTTTGGTGTCACCCCTCCAATGGTGTCACCCGGGTGCGGGTCGCACCCCCCGTGTGTCGCCAATGATGTCACACCTATATGAGCATGTTAGACATTCCATTCCACAATCGTTGGCATGCAACAAGATTTTGGAGGGTGGCAGTGGGAATGTGTGCCCATTCAGCCAAAAGAACATTTGTGAGGTCAGGTACTGATGTTGGGTGAGAAGACCTGGCTCGCCATTGGTGTTCCAATACAAGGCAAAGGTGCTCAGGAGGGTTGAGGTCAAGACTCTCATATTCAAGATCAAAGCTGAGAATTCTATATGACTTGAGAACCTTGTAGGCAGAGGTGTCTCGAGGCCGGGTGTCACCCAGAGCAGAGACCGGGTGACACCCCGCCATGACGTCATCGCAAACGCGTGGTCGTCTTATTGACGCCTGCCGCAGACCATCTTGGTGCTGGACGCCAGCAAAGAGAGGAGGGGACGTTCACCCAGCGGGATGAGGTATGCCGTTGGGTATAAAAATTGCAAGAACTTGCGCTATTGGAAATTGGGGATACTAAAAAATGATAAAATATGAATAAAAGTTTGAATAGATAAAAATTATGTGAAATGTAATTGTTCTAGAAGGGTGTGGGAAGCTGCTGAACTAAAGGCACTCAGCCCCTATTAGGATGTATTTTCTTAAAACGTACAGCGCTAGCCGTCCTTCAGAGGTGAATATAAGAAATCAGACGTTAAGATCAAGGTTTGACAAGTGCTATTAAAAAATGTGTATATTAAATAAATCAAACATTCAGTGGAGGGGTGTATCTCAAAAACTCAATGTGAATGGTTGTGTAAAACAAATTAAAGTCTATAAAATATTCAAATCAATTAATGTATGCATTTATCTAATAACTGTTAGTAAACTGTGATAAGCTGTGAATATATGTATCATGTGTGGGTGATTCTTGTTAATAAATAGTGAATGAACAAATAAAATAAATTAAATTAAATTAAACTTTAAAAGTTTAATTTAATTTAATTTATTTTATTTTATTCAATTGGTTATACATTGTTTGTTCATTCACTATTTATTAACAAGAATCACCCACACATGATACATATATTCACAGCTTATCACAGTTTACTAACAGTTATTAGATAAATTCATACATTAATTGATTTGAATATTTTATAGACTTTAATTTGTTTTACACAACCATTCACATTGAGTTTTTGAGATACACCCCTCCACTGAATGTTTGATTTATTTAATATACACATTTTTTAATAGCACTTGTCAAACCTTGATCTTAACGTCTGATTTCTTATATTCACCTCTGAAGGACGGCTAGCGCTATGCCGTTGGGTACCCTCCTCTCTCCTGACACTGTTGGGCTCTCGGTCTGTGATCGAGTGCCCAACTTTTCATAAGGGGTGACACCAAAATGACTGTCATTCATTTTGGTGTCACCCCTCTAATGGTGGCACCTGGGTGTGGGCCGCATCCTCGGCACCCCCCTTCTGACGCCAGTGCTTGTAGGATCTCCTGATACTTCGGTTTTCATCTGCTGTACTCAGGAGGTTCTCCCCTTTATAAATGAGAGAAGTCATCGTGTACACTACAATTAGGCGTGGTCGGCCCTCTTAAGCCGAGTCCTATAAAACATCGGATTGCCGTGTATCTCCGAAGGTGTAGCTATCCTTTAAGTGCTTTTTTGTAATAAAACCGAGACTCTCCCACAGGTAATATGAGGGGTGTGTATAGAATACGCTGGAATTTTTTCTTTTCTTTTGGACAAATGAAGGATTGAATTAATGAAGAATGAAGGAGTCAGACGTCACATTCCAGAAGAGAAAAGTATTAGCAGCATTGTGAGCAGCCAAGCCCTATTAATACTACTGGGGGCCGCAAAAGTACATGGCACTGATAGGCTTCTATTACTATTGAAGCACCATTGAGGCTTAAAGGAGAACTCCGGCCAAAAAATAACAAGAAAAACATGAATAGGCCAGAGATTCCCCCCGCAGTACTTCTTTTCCACCTCAGTCTGATGGCCAGCATTATTTCCCCCATTTCCTCTGAGCCCAGTTCATTCTGGATGTGCTTCAACCTGTGATTGGACAGCAAAAGGGGAAACAGCACAGTGATGAGCTCATCTCCCTGTCAACTGCTCTCTCCTCCTATCAGCATGCTTTTTCTCAGCACATAAACTGCCTTGTATAGCTCCTTACTCACACACTCCAACCCTGCTATACAGGGACTGCAATGAGATGGTACCATGCATGCAGAGGGTGAGGGGAAATCTCCCCATAGGGACATGGAAAAAATTAGGCGTGGCACCAGCATCTCCGGAACAAGTGCTCTCCCTCCGACATAGAACTGTGCATGCGCAGATCAGCCTCTGCTGTAACAGGGAGAAAGAGGGCACTGCCCATGTGCGGTTCTTTGTCAGAGGGGGAGTGTTTGTCACTTAGATGCGTTCACTAAACGCGGCAACAACGCACAACTCGCTTGCTGTGCCATTGCTTGTTTTTAACATATTGGTGCCCCCTAATAGTTAAAGGAACTACATTCTCGTGCGTTCGGCACCCATTCAGATCATGGGCGATGCGCGGCAAATGCGGAAAAGAAATGCACGCGAACGCACGTGAGAACCCAAAACGAGTGCGGACGCGATCTGTGTTTACGGAAGGCATAGGTGTGATTGGGGGTATATCTAAAGGCTAAACATTTCTCACTCTGGATAGCGAAGGAACGGGTTAAAAAGCACTGAGCCCCCTTTATTGAACACTTAAAGGTATAGTCCACTTTTCTGAAATTAATAATAATTGAACAAAATGGAAAGAACTTCCCCTTTAATTCGATGATCGCTGATTTTCTGCAGCAGAAACATTGTAACAACTTGTTTCTTTTTGTTTTCAGATTATATAAATATGAGGAAATGTTTACAAACCTGACTTCTCTGAAGTGGTAAATATTATATGTTGGCTGAGAAGGATTGATTATGGGGGGGGGGGGGGGGGGAATTTTTAGTAGGGGGGGCATTCAG